GTCATAGGTTACTAATAAGCAATCAACTCATGCTAGGGAACGAATAAAACAATATAAATTGTAAAGATACAAGCAAGACGGTTATAGTCATAAGTGGAAAGAGGTAGGTACTAGGAAGATGAGTAGAATAATAGTAATGCAGACTTAGTAAATAATTTGACAGTGTTAAGGGAGTTAGTTGTTTAGCAGAGTGATGGCATTTGGGAAAAAACTGTCCTTGTGTCTAGTTGTTCTGGTGTGCAGTGCTCTATAGCGTCATTTTGAGGGTAGAAGTTGAAACAATTTATGTCTGGGATGTGAGGGGTCTGTTGATATTTTCACAGCCCTCTTTTTGACTAGTGCAGGATACAGGTCTTCAATGGAAGGCAGGTTGGTAGCAATTGTTTTTTCTGCAATTCTAATTATCTGTTGAAGTCTGTGTCTGTCCTTTTGGATTGCAGAACCAAACCAGACAGTTATAGAGGTGAAGATGACAGACTCAATAATTCCTCTGTAGAACTGGATCAGCAGCTCTTTGGGCAGCTTGAGCTTTCTGAGTTGGCGCATAAATGACATTCTTTGTTGTGCTTTAATGTATAATATAAATTATAAATATAATTAATACATTTTTCTTTTACATTCATGTGAACAGTATATTGTCTTGGTCAGTTTGCTTACAAGTAGTAATATTTATCCAATTTCTAATCTCTATCTCTATTATCAAGCCATTGATAAAACAAGTTCCATGTTGAAAAATATTCTCTAACTTCTTTATCCTTTATCTTTAATGTCAGCGTATCCATTTCTGCACAATCTTGGTTTTTTAGAAAAATTACTCTCTCATCTGTAGGTATTTCCTCATTTTTCCAGTGCTGTGCAAATACAATGCTCACTGCTGTCAAATCATGGAATATTAAGTATATAGTCCCTTTATCATAGTTTTCTTGTACTATGACTAAAAAAAAATATTTCTGGTTTGCAATCTATGTGTTCAGTAGATGATTTCTAAAGTGATGATGCATGCATGAATTTTCCACTAGATGTCACTAACTCATCACAAAACAAGCAGAACATTAAGCATCTGGGAGCAGAGATTTGGATCCTCGATATTACATTACAATAATAGATCAAAGATTAGGGTGAATCATTAGAAGGGACCTTTGAGATCTTCTAGCCCAACCACCTGTCCAAGGCAGAAGACCTTATACTATCCCAGACAAATGGCTGTCCAATTTTTTTTGGGAAAACCTCTAGCAATGGAGCACTCACAATTCTGGGAGACAACCTGTTTGTCTGATTACAGATAGTCCTCAACTTACAAGTCATTTAGTGGCCGTTCGAAGTTACAACAGCACTGAAAAAAAGTGACTTATGGCTGTTTTTCACACTTACGACAGTTGTGGCATCTCCATGGCCAGGTGATTTGCATTTGGACGGTTGACAACTGATTCCCATTTATGATGGTTGCCTGTGATCTCCTTTTGCAACCTTCTGATGAGCAAAGCCAATGGGGAAACCTGATTCACTTAACAACCGTCTTACTAATTTAACAGATGCGGTGATTCACTTAAAACAAATGTGCCGAGAAAAGTCGTAAAATGAGGCAAAATTCACGTAACAACTTTCTCCCTTAGCAACATAAATTTTGAGCTCAATTGTGGTCGTATGTTGAGGACTACCTGTACTGGAAGGCAGCTATCCTGTCACCCCTAAACCTTCTCTTCATTAGACTAGACATATGAGGCTCCTTTAACTACTCAAGAAGTATCCTTAAAACATAGGCAGAAGCCAGGAAGAGCCGTGGTGGCGCAGTGGTTAGAGTGCAGTACTGCAGGCTGACCGTCGGCTGCCTGCAGTTCAGCAGTTCAATTCTGACCAGGCTCAAAGTTGACTCAGCCTTCCATCCTTCTGAGGTAAGTTAAATGAGCACCCAGATTGTTGGGGGTGACAGGCTGTCAACCACTTCGAGAGAGCTGTAAAAGCACTGTATAAGTCCAAATCCTATTGCTATTAATCTTTTTCTGGATTGTTCTGACATCTACCAAAAAAGAAACCAATAATTTACACTTAGTTGCACATCCAATTACATTTTGAGGAACTAGAACTAAGGGGTGTTACTTCTACTTTTTCTAAAGAATTACAGAAAATCCTCCCCTATTGCAGTCAAGATTTGGTGAAGGAAATGAAGACTTGGTTTAAATTGGCTGCTTCTTTCGAAAAATGAGGTGCTGTTGCTGTTTGGTTTATTTGACTTATATGTATATATCTATAAACTGCTTTGCTCAACTCTTTCTTGATTAATAATATTAATTATTGCACACACACTCACAAATAAGTCACAAATTGTCAGGACTCTTGCTCATTGTGCAAAACATTGTAGCGTCCTTTTTATCTTAAGCTCCCCAATACAGCTTCTCCCCTGGATATTAAGAACAGATAGAATAATAGAGTTGGAAGGGACCTTGGAGGTCTTCTAGTCCAACCCCCAGCTCAAGCAGGAGACCCTATTGTCCAGCCTCTTTTGGGGAGCCTCCAGCGATGGGGCACCCACAACTTCTGAAGGCAGACTGTTCCACTAGTTGATTGCTTTCACCATTAGGAAATGTCTCTTTAATTCTAGGTTGCTTCTCTCCATGGTTGGTTTCAAAAGTGTGTTATTCAGCAGGTTCTGAAGAACCGGTAGTGGAAATTTGGAGTAGTTTGGAGAACCAGCCATTCCCACCTCTAACAGGCCCCGCCCCCATCTCTTCTCTGCCTCCCGAGTCCCGGCTGATTAGCTGGGTTGCCCTGCCCAGGAGGACGGAGCTGGAAAGCAGGTTAATGGGGTGAGGAGGGAATGGGGATTTTGCAGAATCCTTCCCCTGCCATGCCCACCAAGCCACACCCACAGAACCAGTAGTTTAAAAAAAAATTGAATCCCACCACTGGTTGGTCTCCATCCGTTGCTTCTTGTCTTGCCTTTTGGTGCAACGGATGGAAACTAAGAATACGCAAGCATTTAAGCACCAGAGAACTTGCAAATTGTACACCACCCAGAGCCCCTCGTTGAGGGAGATGGGTGATTAAGAAGTGTGAAATGTACACATCTATCTATCTATCTATCTATCTATCTATCTATCTATCTATCTATC